CTGTAGTTCATTTAGCGCATGCTTTCAATTCGTCGCATTCGTCGCATTTACGTACAATCCACTCCCAGCAGGGTGTGGATTGTAGCATAATAACAAAATTATGGCAAAATAATAAAATAGCAGCATCAAACGATGCTGTATTTGTGAACCAGTCGGCAGGAGGGCAATCAGAAGCCTCTTCATTAAAGCGCTTGTGTGTGTGTGTGGGGGGGGGGGGGGGATGGTGCCGCCTAAGCCAAATCTCCGCCGATCATCTGTGGTAATCGTTTCTCTCAAGGCCGTGCTGTTTTAGACGTGTTTATACACAGTCTCTCTTCACGTAGCACGCCTCTTTTCGCATATATATTACGTTATCTACGCTATGAATATTTGTTGAACATTATTGTCCAGCGCAGGTCTGAGAAACGTTGCACATGCATAAGACAGTGTCGATAGCTCTACTCCTCTCATATGACCATGAGAAAGGAAAGAAGATGCGTGAAAACTTTGTAGCGTATCCATTATTAATAAAGAATGCACTGTGGCTGAAATGCAGGCAAGTACAGACCCTATAACATTTTTAAAACTCAGTCACACCCTGGGCACAGGACCACCCAGAAAGGAAAATTAGTGAGCCCATTCTTTAAAAAATTCGGCGACCAGACCTAAACGTGCAGGGTTCATCATGGCAGAATATGCGAATGTGATAAGTGTTTTAATGTGTAATGCCCGCAAGGTTGAAATTGTTTGAGTGTATAACTGGTACATGATACGTGGTACCTGATGTCCGTACTTTGATGAACCAACCTATGCCCCTGAGGAGCTCAGATGTGTGAATATTTGCTTACAAACACATTACTATCATTTCCACTTTCCCCAGAGAGGTTGGCGCGTAGGGAGGACGGCTCCTGGGAGTGTTTTCGTTCGCGTGCTGGGCGCACCCGTGGGTGTGCGTTGTACGAAATCATGTCCATGTCGTGCATTTTGCTTTCGTGTGGCAAGATTCCTTTTAATGATTTGGTGTGTTTGATACGCCCGGCACACTCGCAGGGCCGTGCTGTGCGATGCACCGATGCTGAATAGAAGGCGAAAATCCCTCCAGTGTAGTGCATCTCTTCCCACTCAGTGGCGTGGAAACCCGTTCCCCTAGTTAAATGACGTCGGTTCCCGTCACTGTGTAGAGCGTCATGTAAAGTTAATTATGCATGGGCAAGAAATTCCCCCCTCCCCGCTCATTGAAAAAGTCTTAGGCGAGACCCTGGACCTGCATGACTTCTTACATATGCTGCAATATATTCGCGACATTTCATCACCTATTTCTCCTGATGTGCTTGCTTGCAATATGCGAGCGACGTGCTATTGATCTTTTTTCAGATTACGTCCCTTTGCGTGTTTTTCCGGCAGAACAAGGTTCGCTGTTGCGGATTTCGAGGGAGGAGGGATGGGCATCAGCCCCAGCCCGTGGTTAGATGGAGAAACGCTTCACTGTTGTTCTGCTGAGATATTGCTGAGAACTGCAGCTGCTCTGCTCTGGAACACTGTTTGAAGACTGTTCCTGGTCGCCCGGAAGCAGTATGTCTGCCAGCAAGCTGACACAGCAATCAGACGCTTCCGTCAAAGACAACTGGTGCTGCTCCAGAATCATCATGCTTGGGAAAGCAGGTATTGCACCATATGAGTTTGTAATGTTCAGCTCGTACTTCACATACAATTCTGCCAAAATTTACAGCGCGGATTTCCTTGCCACGAGTATTGGTAATTCCACAAGATGAATATGGCGAAGACAAACCCATTTTATCTATTTCATTTCTCTGAGCACTTTCACTGGCAAAAATTGGCGAACCAAGTTTTGGAATCGTGACATAAAAAAGAAGTGGCAGAATTCCTTTTGAAAGTGGCTGCCTGTGTTTTCCTAGAGTTCGCTAGTATATTATCTATTTCCGACATGTTCAACGAAGGCACCTATTAATCATTGCCGACGGCCTTTGTTGCCATCAGCCGCAAGCCATCCATTGTGGGGGCAAAGAGCGAGTGCCTCAAACGACGCAAACTCATCCTGTAATGAGTGAATTGATCGGAAAATAGCCGCTCTAAAAAATGATTATCGAAACAGTACCGTATTCCCGTGTAGACAGCTGACAGCCACTACGCTCCAGTTTCTCTAAAAATGACTGATAAGCTTGGCAGCAGCGTCCTGGCAAAATAAAACGCGACACATCACTTCTTATTCACATAATACGTTTCGCTTGCTTACGCTCATAAATGGCACCATTTAGAGTTTCATGTCGTTATTGTGACCGCAGGAAGACAAGTCAAGTCGGTTTTCATGCAAGTACTTCATGTAAGTGACTTCTCGCTAAGTTTTTCCATACGTGTTCTCCGAGGGAGTGCATGTGTAGTGCATTTCTGCACTGCCGTTTGACATGGATGCTCTCATTATTTCAACCTCGGTAAACGATTTAACAAAGATCAGTTCTTTCAGTACCAACACAGGAGTGCGTGAATAATCACCCACACTCAGGCCGTGGGGCAGTGATCTCAGGTACCGAATATCGCCATTTTCAGGTGCCATCCTGCGCAACACACCGCGCGACGGTGTCTCCCGCAACAAAACGGAAATAGGTACCAGGAAAATAGTTTCGGCGGGAGGGACTGTGACGACGGCAGGAAACATCGCGCAGACGACGGCGACAACGACGACACTTAACATCTGTTGAATGGTTTAGTGATTGTCGCATCGGGCATAATAACAGGGAAGTATATGTTTTGCATAAGGGTGCTGTTGTCGAGGGATACACTTTGACCCGGCTTATTATCGATGACATGAAGCAGTCTGCCTGGAATTACGGCGGTCTATCAATCAGATGGAATTCGAAATGGCAGATCGGTGAATCCCAACTGGGGCCCACTGAGATGGTTAAAAAGGCCCCATCTGGGTCAGATACACGGGTCCCTTCTGGGTTGGTTACATGGGTCCCAGCTGGATTGGCCCGTGTGAGTCCCAGCTGAGTTACCCAGGTGGGTCCCACCTTGGCTGCTCGGGTGGGTCCCATGTGTGTCACAGCTAAGCCCGATAAGGGTCCCACATGGGCTTCCATGTGGAACCCAGTTGGTTGCCCATGACATGCCCGCATGGGCCCGAGGTAGCAAACCCAGGTGGGCCCTATTCGTTTGCTCATCTCGGACCCACATGGGCCCCGGTTGTAAACGTTGGATGGGCCCCATGTGTGCCCCAGTTAGGCCCCACATGAGCCCAAAAAGGGTCACCCATATGGGACCCAGATGTCTGACCATGACATGCCCACATGGGATCAAAGTGGACAGCCCAGGTGGGCCCCATATGACTGTCCAATTGGGGCCCATATGGGTCCCAGTTGGACATGCTGGCAGGGTAAGTAGTCTTGTATGATTTTGGTCACCATTACCCTGTAAAGGCCCAAAAGGTTACTGACCTGAGATGAGCATGTGACCTTTTCCTGAGAACAGGTATCTACGTTCTGGGAGCACTTTGGCGACGAGCCTGGAGTTTGAACCTGTTTGACATTATTTGACCAAGCATTCATAAACCGGAGAGCGCAAACCTTGACCTAAGGGAGTTTATGTACAGGCCAAATACTCTGGTGAATTTAGTGTCTCTACTCATCCTAGTTCCTGAGATCTCGGGGGGGGGGGGGGTGGGTGGGTGATCAAATTGACCCTCACTCGAGCGAGGGGCATCAATCTGGCCACCCGGGCGCGGGTTAATATGGTTCAACTATTTTTGTCCGGAATTTTTTGTTTGAATTCCTTTCATTCAGTTTTTCATTGTTTTTTTATGCAAAAAATGGATGTAGCACGAGATGACGGACGTCTGAGATGTGAGCCGAGTATTCAAAAACAGCGGTGGGCCTCCGAAGGAGTAGCTCAATGACGTCATTCAGCGGCACGCGCAGAGCGAAAAAACGTTTCGTGACAACCACATATACAAGAACTTGGCATGGTGGTCAAAGTTGTCAAAATCGCGTCGGTGGGTGCGTGGGGGAGGTGTAGAGTTTGGCCATGAAGATACAGCGACAGAAAAAGCTGAAGAAGCGTCTTGAATTTTTCAAGAATAATTTTGGATTCAACACTCCTTACAGCTTGATCGTCGACGGAACATTCTGTTTCGCGGCATTGTCGGTAAGCTGCGTGATTGATATGCGTTTTCGGTTTACTGCGTTCGCGACCTATGCATTTTTTGCTATTTTCTGATAGTCGTTGATATGGTGCGCTGGAAGGGGTCAGATTAAATGCATAGTTTTTATGTTGTGGTGTGGGATTGGGGGCTGAGTTTTAATAAGTGTCATCAAAGTTTTGGTCAACAGGTGTGTTATCAGTGCAGGCATTCTACATCTTTTTATGAAATGCCACCAGTATCCCTGATATTATTAGCATTCAAAGATTCCTTTTACAGAAGGAAGAGTAATAGTACATTGATGTGCCAATGGGTTCAATGTGTAAGCACCCCAAGCCATAAATCAATGTCCATTGGCAGTGTCAATGTCATGTCATAAATCAATGTCCATTGGCCCTGATGGCAGCATACATTCTCCCACAGCACAAGGTCAATATAAGAGAGCAAATCCCAAAGATCCTGGAAGATAATGTCAAGATTCTTACTACTCCATGCATTGTCACTGAAACAGAAAAGATGGGTAAGAAGAGTCAATGCATGTAGTAGAAGTTTGTAGCTTGATGGCATGATTAAGAAGTGCTCAATCAAATATGTTTTTTGCAATATTTGATAACAGGTTTTGATACTACAAGGAATAATTCAGTCCCAAATTCACCAAGAGGAACTGGTCACATTGGGATGTTTGAAACCTGATGCGCTGAAAGGCATCTCTAAAAAGCATTTTGCTATTGTAAGGATATGAGCTATTCAGTCCCAAGCTGATGTTTATTAGCCATTCACATGTAGCCCATAAAAGGTTTACTGTTCATGCCTGCCAATGCATCAATGACAGTTTATGGCTGTGATGTATACCATTGTTTCACCTTATGGCAATTACAGATCATGATTGCCTGTGTCTTATATTCCAGGTCCTGCACTGTATGGAGCATTCACCATAGTGAAACAGTTTGCCCACCACCAGTGTGGACATGATGTTGCTGTCAATGGAGCGAAGTGTGTTCGCAGCATGGTGAAGGGAGGCAATAAGTCTAAGTAAGTTGGTGTGCACACATTACATGTCTGCAGCAATGTGTACACAATGGTATTGTTTTATGAATTTGGAAAATGGTGCCTGGTTGTGAAATGGTGTTTGAATGGTAAATAGTTTGCATAGAGATGCAGGAAGCTTATATTTTTTGTTCAGATTATTTTTACCTTTATTTTTCTGAACTGGATATGTTAATGAGATTTATCCACATCTCTGCAACAAATCAGTTTCCCCTTTAAGACCACATTGCCAACCTCACCATTCAAAGCATCAAAATATTGCAGGGTCATTGATGGGATGCTTAGGCAAGGTCAAGGCCCTGGTCAGTGACTTCATGTGCTGACATATACCCAGTCCCCTTCAGATTTCCCCCCCAAAATGTGCTGAAGTTAATCTGTAATGACTATGCTTAACCATGATATACCTATGTTGGATTGAAGGTGCTGCCAGTTAAGCAATTTGGCCAAAGTGACATTTCACTTTTTATAATTCCTTGATACATGGGTGGCTGCAAAGGTGAATGCCACTCTAAAACTTTGATTTTTTTGTGCCTGAGTGAAATCACTTGATTCATGCCCTGACCCATGATGTGTCAGGGCATGGATGGTCCATGATGTAGATATTCATTTGGCACTGTGCTGATCCTTTTTTCTTAAACATGCTGGTGATAATTATTCTGTATAATGAGTATATTCAGGTGGCATGGGTGGTGGTGGTGTCATCATCAGACTTGGGTATCCCAGCCATCACCCAGGTGACAGCGTCACCCGGTGTCGGCACAGGTACGCAGTGGCCACACAGGACCAGGCGCTGCGTGCGCAGCTGCGCACCATGCCCGGCGTACCGATCCTCTACCTACACAACTCGGCGCCCACGCTGGAGAAGCCACCGGAGGTCAGCACGGAGCGCGCCGGACGCCGCGAGGCCGACAGGTGAGGCGCGCACGCTGACCCGCCCCGGGCGTGCGCGTGGGGAGGCGGCCGGCGGCGCATCAGGCGACGGGCGAGGCAGACCCGCCGCCCTGACTGGCTGCGGATCAGGGGCGTCGGCGGAACGGCCGCCTGGCGCACGCCTCGGCACAGGTGGTTTGCCGCGACGGTCTGCCGGTCAGGGGGCGCCAGCAAGACGGCCGCCTCGCGCACGCCTCGGGCTAATCGGACGACCCAAGGTCATAAGATGGCTACTGCCGGCGAGGCGCAGTGTTTCAATATTAAGCCGCTTGGGTACGAGGCATGTGGGTGTATTTTTCCTGCTATGACATCGCGGCTTATGGTTCACGGCCTACTGTCCCTCCCCTTGCTCAAAATCGTCCACTCAATGTCGAACCAAAAGGTAGTCAACCCAGCATCGAATTGCCTCATGCTAGACAAATGGGCTGGGCAGGTCAGATGCTTTGGTTCGGGGTTGAAGGCTAATGGGTTATTGCCAACGAATTGTGTGCGGATGCCCATGGAGTGCCAGGATTCTCGTAGCATGGATGTATGTTTACATCCCGGACACCCTGCTGGATGAATTTCGGAACGCCGGCAAGCGTGCCTTGCCTCATAAGCGGTGGACACGGCGACGCCGCTTGCTGGTGCCGTAGGCGTGAGCCATCTATGTTGTATTGTACGCGGCTCCTGTCCGGTGTTGCAGGGTGGGCCTGTCGGAGGACCAGCGCCAGACCATCGCGTCACTGAAGCGGCGCCTGCTCGGCGAGACGGAGCCGACGCTGCGCCGCAGCCGGAAGACGGCGAAGGGCGCCAATCCGCTGTCCCGGCGCCGGAAGCAGGCCGCACCGGCACCCGAGCCGGCCGAGGAGGCGACGGCCGGCCGCAGCCGGCGCCGCCGGCGGGTCCGGGTCCGCGTGGCGGCGCACGTCAAGGAGGAGTTGGCGCGCCGCCGGTCGCCAACAGTCGGCGGCCCGACGTGAGGGGCCGACCGTCGCGCCGAGCCGAGCTCGACCGGCCGGCGCCGTGTGGCGTTCTGGAACTTGATCGCCGGTGCCGGCGTTGGTGATAACAGCGGGTGTTGTTTGTAGATGGCCCGCATTGTGCGTCACGACAGGCGTGGTCGCTGGTCTCAGCTGCCTTGAGTGGTCAGGCATGGTGGGGAGGCGGCTCGGCCGACCATGTTGTCGTGGACACATGCTTTTGTATGTATACAGGATGGGGATGTGAGGGTAGGGCTTCCGGCAATAACTTGCCCTTCGTGCCATGCTGCCCTTTGCTACTGCGCCGCCACATTCGACTGCGCAATATATTGCTGCAATCCTCATCAGTGGTCTGTGTATTGGGAACCGTCGCCGACGTGTGAAAAAGGACCAAGCGTGCTACTATCGCGCCATGATAACGTTCGGTGAAAACAGCTCCACAGCGCGAGACTCGCACCGTCGCTCGCGCGCCGCGCCGAATCCGGATGCGCCACTTCGGCCTGTGACGGGCTGGGCCGTGGCGCAGAGCAAAGCCAAGCCGGGCCGCCAACCACCTGCATTCGCTCACTCGAGTCGAGGCGGTGCGCAACAGACTAAACGGTGTACGTGAGCGCAATAACGTGCCCAGGCACGCGGCGGTCGCGACCGGACGACGCCGCGTCCGCGCGTCACGTGACTCAGCGTGGCTCATGTGACCTCAGGCGTCCGTGGCGCCGGCGGCCCCTGGCATCAACGCTGTACCACATCAGCTCACGGCTCTTGACACCAGGGCAGGTCATGGCCCCTTGAATGTATATATCTCGACACTCTTGGCACAGTTACAGGGGCGCAGCCAAGGGAGAGGGAGGGGCTGTCCTTAGGTCAGTATTTTGCGTTTTCCACCATAGTTGGCTCCGGGAAATTCGTCAAAAATCTGCGTCGCGCGTTCTCACTGAGCTCCGGAGTCTCCATTGAGAAAACCCTGGCCTGCACCATTACAGCTCAGTTTCTGAGATCAGAACAGACACAGCAATACTTGGTGCCAGTCAGTGATGTATAGTTCCGTAAATTAATTGTGTGAGGGCGAACGGTTAAAGATGACCAACTCTGCCTCAAAATATGCAAACAAACAGGTTTCTCCCCGCATTTTCCCGTTCTCTTTTCAAAGTCGCGGTGTGCGTGTGCGTGTGTGTGTGGCTGAATGCCCCAACTGGATAGGAAACTACACTCCTGATGCCGACTAAGCACCAATGTAAACACTGGTGGACGCATTGGCGCCGCGCTGGTTAGAGCATAATCTGTCGGGATTCAAAACGCTCGCACATTTTGCAATAAAGAGTCCCTCAGGATCAGTTGCCCGCTTTTGGAACACATGAATAAAATGCCAATCTTCAGAGCTGGCAAATAACCGATGCTTAATAATAAATGTTGTTACGAGACAGCGGAGCCGGCATACTTAGCATGTTTTCGGGTGTTCCTACGCGGCGCATATTTGTGTTTTGCAGGGGATCCTGAATATTAGGATATCGATATATATATATATATATATATATATATATATATATGACGTCATCAATCAGTTGGTGATAGCACAATTTCGGCAATGACAGCTGCATCGTAGCACCCAGCGCGCCACATTCGCTGGCATTCGGCGTTTGGGTTCCGGCTCCTTGCTCCTTGCTGCTGGCTCCCGTGTTGTCAGGTGGACGCCCGAAATAAGTGGGGTGTATGCATTTACTATTGCAGGATTCTAATCGACCTAATAGTGACAGCAAGCAGGTGAGGTCAATTGCATTTATATAAAGAATTCGTTGCTGACCTCAGACTTTTTAAATTAGTTCTGTGTTTGAGGTGTCCGGTCATTTGTCCGGTGCTCATATCATTTGGGTTACGTGATTATGGAGGTGGAGCGCGTATTTCCATGCCCAGTATTGCATTGGTATTTGGAAGGGTGAAGTTTGCGATCACAGCAGCCATTATGTGGTATGAATAAGGACTTGGCATTATATTTACTTTGAAGCTGGTAATGTGTTGAAGCCTTGTCATTTGTGTTTTAATTACTTATGATATGAGTGCGAAATTGATGTTGAAGTCAGTACCCCCTAGATCACCAACTTAAATAATAGGTACTAATTATATTTTCCCAATCTCTACACTGTCTTGCTCATCATATGATGCCCTATTTTCCAAAATATGGCAGTGATAAAGTGTAATATTAATTTATACCATGCATCCACTAACCTGGCACCCTGAAGCTGAAATTATAATAACATATGATGTCAGTTACCTTGTAAGGCAAACAACCTAACCCAACCTAACCTACCTGAACCTAACCCAACCTAACCCAACCCAACCCAACCCAACCTAACCTAACCCAACCCTTTTCTTAGGATTAAATCTTATGAAGGCTCCACCCTTTGCTCATCTGGCATATTGACAAATAAATTATCAGAACTATATTTTGATGCTTTATTATGCTGTGATGAATACTGACTTAAGATTATGTTGGTTGTATACAGGATATATGATTATACAGTTCATCAGTGATAAAATATTGCAGTTTTTATTATGATTGATGTTACATAGTGTTTAAGACTTCATGTCATGTGGATGAATTTATTCTGAAATGAGTGGGAATTTCCATAATTTATTGTAGAATTGGGGTAAATTACAATACAAATCTTTTGAATCTCCTTTGTCAGACTAGTCATGTCTTATAAACTTCATTTTTGTTTTGGCTTCAGAGCCAGCATGCAACAACATGCTGATCACTTTTTCTGGCAAAGCCACAAGGGATGGGGGGCATTATCCCAACAGGCATTGTCTGGTTGGACTGGTTTCCAAACAGTTATTGTGGCCACTTGTGTGGAATATTGTGCCCTAGCATTTTGCATGTATTACATTGTACTTATACTATTTGATATTCATAGTCCAAATAAAATTGGATTTCATGGTTGCTTGCTTGCAACTTTCATAATTGGGGCCTTGAGGTACCAAATTGTCAGTGAGTGGAGGGATAGCAGGGGTGTGATGATAGTCCATTAAAATACAACAGCATTTATGCATTGGCAACTTGATTACTCCATTTGGTTAGCATATTCCATTTGAGACTATGCATGGTTTGTTATAGACCAGGCTCATTGTACAGGCAGAAAGCAGCATTCTCATGGAGGACAACAAGGTGCTTTCCAGGTTATTAGTTCAGAAAATATAAATTTGTGGTGCAGTAACCACTTGGATATGCCAGTTTCCCCACACTTAAAGTACAAGCCATGCATTTTCATTATCATGCTTTTTTACAAGCTGCTATTTTGTGCACTTGCTTGTTTTATGTTTTCCAATTGCAGCTCCTTTGATAGTGTCAGGTTTGTATGCTATGATTGATCAATTACATGTGTGATAGCAGCCTTGAAAAGATTGTGACTATCCCCTCATATTTTGTTCCATTGATGTAAATTATCAATGTCTTGGGAAGCCAAACATGTGTGGTGGCGAGGACAGCTAGTCATGGAAGAAAACATTGCAGATAGCTGTTGCGATACAGCAGGTATGTGTTAATTCCACCATGAATGGTGGGGACTATGGAGCTTACATAGGTACCTACCTGTCAATCAGTCCTCCACCAAGGTTATGACTCAGTACATTGCCTGCAACAAAATATTATGTGATAACATGGATCAACATGCATTTTCTTTCACAGATGTTTTGATAGATCTGGTCCTCAACTGAATTCTCATTGGTTTGTTATTCCACTGATTTGCAGCCAACATGAGCATGGTGGGGCGCAAGGTGGAGCTGGAGAGGAAGAAGGCACGCCTCTTGGCTCTCCGTGAGGAAAAGGAGAGGCGCAGGCAGGAGAGGGAGCAGGCGGTATGTGATTAGCCTTTGGCATCAGCTTCGTTTTTTGCAAGCTCATCATATAAATGTACTGCCTGCAGTTTTTATACTGAATGAACCATAAGCTGTGATATCACAAGCGTGATGCAAAAGAAACAGGCCAACTTCTGGTACGGTCATTTTGGATGACCTATTGTTTACTTGTGATTTTTAAACACAAGTCCAAAAGTTTGGGGGTCATTCCACTGCCAGAAATTTTATAGTTTACAGTGCTTGCCCATGTGCAACATGCACAAGTCCAACAGATTTGCTGGATTTCCTTCACCATGCAGTGGTGGCTGGTATGGTACATGATCTGTTTTCCTGCAGGAGTTCTGAGATTTCTTGATGACAATTTACTTAATTTCTTGTGCAGTGCCATCAGCCATGGTCATTTTTGCACAGTTTGTGTTTAAAGAGGCACATTCAGCATGGCTCTAGTTGAGTATCTGTATAGTTCACAACATGCTACAGTTCATGCTGTACCATTGCTGTTGGTGGCTGCTGGTGGCGAAGCTGTGGCGGCAGTCTGTCACGCGGCGCGGTGCTCTACCCCCAGCTGGCCAGCAGGGTGCGCCTCACTGGACCGGCCAGCGACGCCGACCTGGCCTCCATCGACAACGTGCTGATCGCCGAGGGTGTCGAGCCCATCTCAGGTGAGTGGCGGCGCTCGGGCAGCGCCAGCTCACCTGGCCGCCGGCGCCCAGCTCTTCACAGTCTTATGGGCAAGCTCTGCCCATTCAGGCGGCTACCTGTGGCGTCACAAATACGCTCCAATATAGGGCGCCTTTTGTCCAAAATGTGGGCGACAAGTACAAGAAGCTGATTCAGGCTATGGAGGTATAGCTCGCAGGCATTACAGACAGGACTAGCATTGGATGGAACAGGTTTTGGGAGGTTCTGTGGCTAAAAACATCATTGTCGATCGCACTATCCGCATGCGATCGAGAGGTGCCCAATCGTCCGACATGGAAGGCCCTCAGCAGCGCCTTGACCGTTGCTAGGCGCTGCTAAATACACAGCGACAACTTGTAAAAAAAACGCTCTTACTCGGCCTCTCGGCCAAGTCAGGCGTGGGATTCGGCCGTGACGTCGTAGACAGGTCAGGGATGCCAAATGAGGTTGCTTCAAGGAGAGAGCAGACCTCCAGTCGCCGGTGAAGAGCGGGTCCCTGGCTGTGACGGGCGCTGATCTCAGTGCACCGACCACTAACGCAGCGGCGCAGCCGTGATTGGCGGGTAAGCCACGGTCTGTGGGCGAAAACATCCGATCCCAAATGGTGTTTTTCGTGGATCAAATTGTAAAACATGCGCGTTACGACGAGCATTGGTGGGATGAAAGTGTATCGTACACATTGAAATACACGCTCCTTCAGATTTTGCGTGGTGATATGCATGGTTCTGAGAACGGCGCCACCCGCTTTCAAGGATGGAAAACCGTGGCTGTGAGCCTTTGAGATCTGACGTGGCTTGTGCTCTGCCGCAGGCATCAGTGACAGTCCGGCGAGCTCCCTCCAAGCATCCGAAGCCGGTTCAGTGCCCAGCTCCTGCCAGCCGCAGCCAGGCACCACCCCGGCCACCATCAAGTACGTCTGTCTGTCCGTGGCGGCAAGCTGGCGCGGACCTCGCGTGCGGGCTCGATGGTTCGAGAGAGATCATACAGTGGAGATAAGACTAGCCATCTAACCGTAGAAAGGCGCCGCTGGGGTCTGCGTGTCATCGTGCGGGAGCCGCCTGTGCGAACTGCTGGGCCGGACTGAGCCCAGAGCACGCGCGCACTGTTGCCGGTCCGGGCCGCATGTCCGGCGTCAGTCCCGAGCCCAGAGCACGCGCGCACTGCTGCCGGTCCGGGCCGTATGTCCGGCGTCAGTCCCGAGCCCAGAGCACGCGCGCACTGCTGCCGGTCCGGGCCGCATGTCCGGTGTCAGTCCCGAGTCCAGAGCACGCGCACTGCTGCCGGTCCAGGCCGTATGTCCGGCGTCAGTCCCGAGCCCAGAGCACGCGCACTGCTGCCGGTCCGTGCCGCATGTCCGGTGTCAGTCCCGAGCCCAGAGCACGCGCGCACTGCTGCCGGTCCGGGCCGTATGTCCGGGGTCAGTCCCGAGCCCAGAGCACGCGCGCACTGCTGCCGGTCCGGGCCGTATGTCCGGCGTCAGTCCCGAGCCCAGAGCACGCGCGCACTGCTGCCGGTCCGGGCCACATGTCCGGCGTCGGTCCCGAGCCCAGAGCACGCGCGCACTGCTGCCGGTCCGGGCCACATGTCCGGTGTCAGTCCCGAGCCCAGAGCACGCGCGCACTGCCGCCGGTCCGGGCCACATGTCCGGTGTCAGTCGAGACCGGCCGGATCGCCGCTGTGACGTCACGCGATGCCGCGTGTGAGGGTGCCACCGGTCGGCTGACCGCGTCCCCCCCCCCTTCCGTCCGCTGCCGCCGCAGGAAGAAGCCGCCCGACCTGTCTGTGGTGCAGGTGCACTCCACCAGCATCCCGCCGCGCGAGAGCGTCACGTACGCCAAGCAGACGCAGACGGCAGCCAGCGGGCCGGAGCAGCACGGTCAGTCGGAGGGCGGAGAGCGCTCCGCCGCCGCCCCGCCTGAGCCTACTGATCCCTCTTTCCGACGGATGTGCCGCAGCTGCTCAGAAACGACCAGGCTTGAGGAGCCGACGCAGGCCAGCGTCTGCCAAACGAGCTGACACCATTCAGTGTGCAAAAAGCTGGATGCGTGCTGGGAACATTAGGGATTCCGGTACCTTGTGTCTCTAGGACTGAAATTGCAAAGGCTTATGCTGTATGCCACATCTTACTTTTCCGGCAAACTGTTTCCATTTGAACACATCATTTGTTGTTGAACACATCAGTACATTTGTTGAATTGAAATGCTAAATGAAGCGCTGTGCCTATTGCTCGCCATATTTTTTTCATCAAACGTCCATCTCCCTGTTTGGCAGTTCTAACCACCCGCCATCTCATTTCAGCTCGCGGCATTGACTACTATGGTAAGTACAGTTTCCCCACCCCAGGTCCTGTTGTGCGATAACGTGCACAATAGATGTAGGGCGCTGGGTGAACTAGCACTAACATTTAGCTCTGATAGAATAGTCTGCTGGAGTCTCTGTTTTTTTTGTGTGTGTAAATGATGTACTTGCCATGCACTGCGTGGTGCGTCGCTCTATGTCCCTGTGCTACATGGACATGACGTGCAGGAGATGTCTTCATGACTGCTGTTCGTTACCCCACACTTCGTGCAATGTCATTTGATCCAATGTTGAAAATGTCCAGTGACCGGCTGTTCGCCGTTGACACCGTGTTGACGCGGCACTGTAATTGGTCGTCCAGTGCTGACGTACGACGAGCCGCACGGTGAGGAGGAGGAAGCGAGCCTGACGGGCCTGGAGGGGCGCCGGCTGCCGCCAGGCATCCTGCACCACGGCATGCCGACTGTGACGGACGTGAAGCCGGCCAGCGTGCAGCCGGCGCCGGCCGACCGGACGCCGCCGCCGCCCGCCCGACCCGAACGTGAGTCGGCTGACGGCGGCCCCGCCGGCCGGGCCGGGCGGCCTCCCGCCGCCCCCCCCCCCCCCCGCCCGACCCGAGCGTGGGTCGGCTGACGGTAGCCCCGCCGGCCGGGCCGGGCGGCCTCCCGTCGGCGCCCGCGTGAAGTACAGCCACGGCCGGGCCGACACTGTGCCCCGGACCCCGGCGTGTCATGTGCGGGCTTTGGGAGTCGCACGTCGGCGGCGGCGGCTGTTACAGCGAACTGGACGCCCAGGCATCGTCAGTATTGATTTCGGGAAATTTCTATTTGAAGACTGCCCCTTTGAACACGCATTCCGTTTGGTGAAACGCGACCTCGTCTTCTGAGACCGGCGTTTGCCGTTAGCTCTGGCTGACACCTGCAGCTGGCGTCCAGGCCGGGATCAGATGCCGTTAGCTCTGGCTGATACCTGCAGCTGGCGCTCAGGCCGAGATCAGATGCCGGTAGCTCTGGCTGACACCTGCAGCTGGCGCTCAGGCCAGGATCAGATGTCGTTAGCTCTGGCTGACACCTGCAGCTGGCGCCCAGGCCGGGATCAGATGCCGTTAGCTCTGGCTGACACCTGCAGCTGGCGCTCAGGCCGGTATCAGATGTCGTTAGCTCTGGCTGACACCTGCAGCTGACGCTCAGGCCGGGATCAGATATCGTTAGCTCTGGCTGACACCTGCAGCTGGCGCTCAGGCCGGGATCAGGTGTCGTTAGCTCTGGCTGACACCTGCAGCTGGCGCTCAGGCCGGGATCAGATGTCATTAGCTCTGGCTGACGCCCGCAGCTGGCGCTCAGGCCGGGATCAGAGCTGAAAGACACCGGTGATGGTTCGCGTTACTATCATTGGAGCGCGTCACTATCGCTCCCTGAGCGCGCAGGCAAAAACACGTGCAGTTGTAAGGCATGCACCTTCTTTTAGGGCCAACCATGGGCCGTCCTTAGTTACCAGCGATGGGTATTTGATGCGATGGGTAGATTATTAGCTTGCATTGTTTGTAACCAAACCGTTAGTTGGGGCTTCATATGATCGGTCACAACCGTAGCGGAGCGTTTGCTTCGCGAGCCCCTGAACAACCCTCCGTTTTCGGGCAGCACGTGAGCTGAGCGAGGAGCAGAAGCAGCTGATGATGATGTCGACGGAGTTCGCCGAGTTCTTCAGCCGACAGTCGCGGGTGATGGAGCGGGTGCTGCACGAAGAAGCCGACGTGTTCACCGACTACAGCCGGGACTTCGATGACGACGGCCTCCTGTGAGAGCCGGACCCGGGGGCACGGCCACGGCAGCAAGGACGGGGGACGGGGCTGGAGCTGAGGGCTCGACCATGGCAGCTGGGGCGGGGGGCCGGACCCGGGGGCACGGCCACGGCAGCTGGGTTCCACGTGCCGATTACGCAATCACTATAAGTCAGTATGTATTTTGGGGACAGTTCAGTTCGTCTTCGAGACGAGTATAAGTGTTACGACTATGGGTAGACGCTGAAGCCGTGCCGGTGCCGGAGCCGGTGCCGGTGCCGGAGCCGGTGCCGGAGCCGGTGCCGGAGCCGGTGCCGGAGCCGGTGCCGGAGCCGGTGCCGGAGCCGGAGCCGGAGCCGGAGCCGGAGCCGGAGCCGGAGCCGGAGCCGGAGCCGGAGCCGGAGCCGGAGCCGGCCCAGCACTGACGCCCGGCTGCCGGCCCTTCCTCTGCAGGGACGAGAAGTCTGGCCAGCGTCTGGCGGCGAGCCGGGTATTCTCGGACGAGCGCTGGTCCCACAACCGGACCGTCACCTCACTCGACTGGTCTCCGCAGTTCCCCGAGCTGCTGGCCGCCAGGTGGGCAGCGCCGGCGGCGCCGGCTGGGAGCGGGACGAGTCCCGTCTGCTGGCTGTGTACTGCAGAACACGCCGGATCAGGGCATACAGCTCAAGGACTGACTGGCGATTCTGTCACACCCGGTACATGACCAGTAAAACAGCCGCTGTCAGTAGGCATAGTCCTGTTTGGTCTTGAGTGCCTTCCAGCGTTCGGAATATGACGGCACTGTACCTTGAACTGCACACCGCCGACCCCCGCTCGTGCACTGCACTTCGCTGGACTCCCGCACGTGAGCGTATGCGGCGCGCGCCAGCCACGGCCCAACGCCTCCGTGCCCCGCCGCAGCTACAACAATAACGAGGCGGCGCCGCACGACCCGGACGGCGTGTGCCTGGTGTGGAACACCAAGTTCAAGAAGACGACGCCCGAGTACGTGTTCCACTGCCAGTCGGCGCTGACCAGCGTCACGTTCGCCCGATTCCACCCGAACCTGCTGCTGGGCGGCACGTACTCGGGCCAGATCGTGCTCTGGGACAACCGCGTGCAGCGACGCACGCCCGTGCAGCGCTCGCCGCTCTCCACGGCTGGGCACACGGTACGCTCGAGGCGCGACGCTGGCGGCGGCGACGGGGTCGGCACGCAGCTGTGGCCGCAGGTGGCGGCGTTAGAGGTGGACGGAAGGCGCGGAACAGGCGATGTATAGCAAGGCGAAAATAGAGACAGAGACGATGCAAATATGTAGTGGCGGGGACGTTTGGCAGGGCTGGGAGTGTGACAGTCGCAGCCGCGGTGAGCGTCTTTTGCTGGGTCGTGGAATTTCCGGGGAGCGAGGCGAGGCCGCGCGTTCGGCGGAACCGCCGTCTGGGTGGGGACCGTGGCAGACGTTTGGGCCAGGATGGCGGTGATCTAAGCTTAAGCCCAGTGGCGTGCTCACTTGTGACAAGCACAGCGGCCTGACCTCAGCCCCTCCCGCCAATTCGTCATGGCGGCGACCGTACTGTTGTGTCGAGGCCGGCCTGACGTCTCGGTGTTGTCCCTGCGCCGCAGCACCCCGTCTACTGCATGCGCGTGGTGGGCACGCAGAACGCGCACAACCTCATCTCGATCTCGACGGACGGCAAGCTGTGCAGCTGGAGCCTGGACATGCTGTCGCAGCCGCAGGTCAGGCGGCGCCGGCTCCGGTCGGTCGCCGTGTTGGCGGGTCTTGCCGATGGCTCGTGCCTCTGTGCCGAGCGACGCTGTCACGTACCCCGTGATGCGAGAGTGAGGCTCTTCCTCATATCCGTGAAGGTCATCAACATCTCATGGCCTGACGTCATGCGTTCGAATGTGGAATGCGTCTGGATGAACCAGTTTGTTCATCCCTTGCCACGCTTTCAAGTGTACCGATATCCAAGATATTCCGAGTTTTGCCGATTGCTAATGCTCCGTGCTTGAGGCCATTTTACATTGCAGAACCTATTATCACTCATTCGCTTCCATGCATAGATCCTCGATATTTATCAGCACGACATAGATATGTATCGCTATATATATATATATATATATATATATATATATATATATATATATATGTATATATATAAAATACGTATATGTGTTTGTATCTGTGTAGGTATATATATACATGTATTTTCTTACATACATACATACACACATAGATGTACGTATGTACGTATGTATATTGATGGTTGGCGTACGGCGGCGCGCGCTTGACACTGACGTTCGGCGGTCAGGAGAAGCTGGAACTGCAGTTCAAACAGGGCCGGCCCGTGCCCGTCACCGGCCTCACCTTCCCGCAAGGCGAGGTCAACAACTTCGTCATGGGCAGCGAGGACGGCAATCTCTACACGGGTGGGTCCGTCCCGACAGCCGCCCCGCCCCCGTTCCGAGCCGCCTGTGCCGTACACCGGTGGGTCCACCCCGACAGCCGCTCCGCCCCCGTTCCAAGCCGCCGGTGCCGTACACCGGTGGGTCCACCCCGACAGCTGCTCCGCCCCCGTTCCGAGTCGCTGGTGCCGTACACCGGTGGGTCCGCCCCGACAGCCGTTCCGCCCCCGTTCCGAGTCGCCTGTGCCGTACACCGGTGGGTCCGCCCCGACAGCCGCTCCAGCCCCGTTCCGAGCCGCCGGCGCCGCGCTTGTAGTCTACACATATCGTATTGTTTCAGCGATGATACGTGTCTTCCCGGAGCGAGCGTACCGCGCCTTGTGCCCGTGAGGTCTGTGACGGGAGAGGGGGAGGGTACGGACGCGGCCCGTGTCGGGACGTTCCGTCTGACCCCGCCGTGGCCGCCGGCGGGCAGGGTGTCGTCACGGCAGCCGGGCCGGCGTGCAGGACGTGTACCAGGGCCACTTCGGCCCGGTGACGGGCGTCAGCGCGCACGCGGCGCCCGGCCCGCTCGACTTCGCCCATCTCTTCGTCAGTTCTTCCATCGACTGGTCCATCAAGCTGTGGAGCGCCAAGGTACGACGCTGAGCGCCGCTCGTCCTGCGGAGGAGAGCACAGGGGCGTCGTGACAGACACGTTCCGGATATGTTCGGTCATGTCATCGAACAATATGTCATCGAACAATAATTTTGCAGTTTCCTGTAAAGTGTCTTCCCCCCGTTCAATCCATGGCATGTCTACGTTTGAATGTTGTGTATCTGCTTAGCATAGGACTGTCCATGTTTGTTTGCTTGACCAAGATCGCTGCATTTTTCATGGCAGCCCGTGCTAATCCATGGCACCGCCCGTCTGGTCTGTCTGCCTCTTTCCCGTGCTCCCACCCCCGGTGCCGGCTGGCCCCCTGGGGCCGCTGAGAGGCGTCTCCGACTCCTCGCCGTCCTCCTATCCGGGGGTTCGGCCTCCCCGCGGCCGCTGACGGCTCGCCCTGCCGCCAGGAGCCGCGACCACTATACTCGTTCGAGGACAACAGCGACTACGTGTACGACGTGGCCTGGTCGCCGTTGCACCCGGCGCTGTTCGCCGCCGCCGACGGCGCCGGCCGGCTCGACATCTGGCACCTGAACACGGACACCGAGGTGCCGGCCGCCAGTGCGCTGGTGGACGGCGGCGCGGCCGCACTCAACCGTGTCTCATGGACGCCGTCGGGCCTGCAGCTGGTGGCCGGCGACGAGCGCGGCCGCGTCTGGCTGTACGACGTGGGCGAGCAGCTGGCGCAACCGCGCCCCGACGATTGGAGTCGCCTGGCGCACACGCTGCACGAGATGCGCTCTAACGCCGCCGACCTGGACGGCGACCTGGCGCGGCTGGGCACGCCCACTCACTAGCACGCCGCTCCGGTCAGACGTGCGCCGACTGGCCGGTCGCCGCCGCCGCCGCCGCCGCCGCTGTCCCGCGGCCGTGGGTCGCGCTGGTGCGGCGACGGGCGGGGCCGGACTGCACCACGCTGCCTCGGGTGTACGGCTGGGGCGCGGCTAGTTGGCGTGCCGGGCCTCCAGGCCGACTTCCAGTCCCATTTCGACTCCGACTCGGCCGCTCACGCTGCCGTGGGCTTAGGCCAGCGCTCCTCAGGCCAGTGACTGCGGCCAGGCTGCTGGCCGGCGGCCGGCTGACCCCGTGGTCGTGGTGCAGCCGGCAGCCAGCTCTCCTGTCGCGGCTGGCGGGCGGCGTGTCCGCCGTGTGGTGTGCGGTGCTGGTGGCGCCTCCGCGGCCTCGCGCAGGCGCGAGCAGACCGCAGCAGGCTGTGCGACCGAACCATTCCTGCCGACGGCTGGCGGCCGGCCGCCCTTCCCCCCCCCCCCCCCCGTCACCTCGTCTGAAAGGCGCTCCATTTCACTGGCTAGTGCGTTACGACCGGTGCCTTACTGCGCCTCTGCGACGCGAGTCGCCGCCGCCGCCGGGGTGTGTTTGGCGATGGCGGGTGCTACGTGACGGACCACTGGACCCGTCCGAGGCGCTGCCGTCCCGCTCCAGCGGCTGCCGGCCGCGCGCGCCGCACGTTCTACTGCCGGGGTATTGTGCACAGCACGACGGCGCGAGATCGTTTGGGAACGTATTTTCACCGAGGATTAGGAATAGTGGATGGTCTACCGAGCATGGCTTGTATTATCGGATGGTGTGCGGGGTGATCCGGGCATACGCGTTTGCTTTGTTGTGTTGAGGGCAGTTGAAATACATGATAGCAATTGTGTTGTGCTCGATACCTGGGAGGAGCCTGCAATTTTCAGTCGTCTGCGATACACGCAATCCAGTGAAGCAAAAAGATGGTGGCCGAAACTTATAGGACACATTTTGTGTCGTTTTCTTGTCTGCCGCCTACCGGGTACGCCTGCTATTGGTGCGCTATTTCACCTGGCGGCAGTTAGCCAGACGAACACTTCGGTCTACAAGTTGTTCGTGTATGCTGTTCGATATTAGGGAGCCCGGAATTGGCCATGACGCCAGGTCGTGCCCCAGCGTGTACCCACAGGCTTGGTGTGATCGCGTTCAGGGCCAAACGAACTGAACGACAACCACGGCCGTGGGGGACCCATGATGTGCGTTGGAGACTCGGATGAAGTAAACCAGTGCATGTGCCCTTACAAAGTTACTCAATCTCATATTACCACGGCCGCATTCCGTACGGTCTTGCAGGGCAGGACAGAACAGGACGGATAGACTAAAGGAAATTGTGCCAGATCATTCAGATACGCATGAACTAGAGGGCGGGTCCAGGACGGGACGGATGGACAAAATGGGATGGCGGCAGGGCAGTCAAACATGCGTGTGATCCAAAGGGCAGGCCCAGGACAGGACGGATAAACGAAGTGAGATAGCGTCAGAACAGTCAAACAGATGCGTGTGAACTGGAGGCAGGCCCGCACACAGGCTGGTGCGCTGAGGGATCACTAGCCATACTCTTGGGTCTGGGGCGTAACACCACTCTCGTCCCTTACGAGCCCTTTATTTTTTTCCTCTGTGGAGCCTTGGGTTACCGGCCTGCGTGGTTCAGTATCTATGTGTGCCAGACTCCGCCAGTTTTAGCACGAATTGGTCCTAACCACGGTTCCCCTCTTAGCGGCCTTGCCTCTTAGAAAGGATCCGCACCGACTAGGCTGGAGTGCGTGTTGTCCGTCCCTCTCTGGAATGACGGCCCTTGCTGGTCATGTTTTCCGTATTGCCTAGCCTATGAAAGCAAAATTGGTTGCGTGCGGTTTTCCTGTGCTTCTCCTCTGTAAAGTGGCCCCTGACATTTAGGACGAGCTGGTTTTTGCGCGGATTATTTACGAAGCCCGGCTTTTCTTTACGGATGAATAACGTAAGCTAAAGCCACTAAAATAAGCGAGCCGCGAGCATGGACATTATGCAATGTGTGTGAGGAAGAGGCGAGTGTCGTATGGCTATTCAAATTGAATTGCATCAAAAGCAACAGGATTGGTGCATAGAGAGGGAATTCGGCTTATGCAAGTGTTGATTGGAAGGTAATCTGTGCTGCGAGGCTGCACATGTGTTCGGTTAGCAGCATCTCCACCATTATTGCAAAATTTGTTTTTGTGTCATTGTGCTAATTGATTGGCCTAGTTCTAAACTGCGTCGGGTTTTGATCGCATCTCTTGGGGCATTTTGTGCACTATTTTGCACCTGCTCACTTTCCTGTAATGCATGAACCTCCCCAAGCATCAGCTGTACTAAAGATATTCCCAAGCTGTGGTTGCTACAGCTGCAGTGTCATGATTGTTCCTGCATTTCATTGAGTTGGTGATTAAGGAGCTGAGAAGAAAGGGGATTGAATTGTTGCATTGTGTCATTTCTAATTGTGATGTTTTCTTTCACTTTGAGTTTTTTGTGTGGGTAGTTTACATTGTTAGTGCAAGGAAGTTCCAAAGTAGGTATGTTCCAAGCATGGGGTTGATATGTCTGTCATGTCCTGCATGCTGGTAGTTAGTTTATGTTATGTAATCTCTAGTAATTAATTTGCTGCCAAGCTGTGGCTATGCTCTTTGAAAGGTGTTCACAACTTTTTTATCTTGCCTGTAAATAATGATCAAATGATTTGGCCATTTAACATTTACTCATGTGGCTCTACTTCACACACAATCTATAAGGCATTGGTTTCTGTCTATTTGCCACTTCTGTGAGCTTTAATCTAAGCATGACCTACTTTGGTAAGTTATATTAAGATCTCACATCATGTGTTTTGTAAATGTGGTATTGACACTGTACCATTGCTCTCTGGCATGTCATCCTCATCCTCAAAAATGTTCCCCTAGTATTTTACCCTCTCACATTTATGTTAGCTCATGTCACTGCATTGTATGTTGTGATGCTCCCTAGAGCATTGCTGGATACCCATATGCAGATATTTGTGCCCTCTGTGGATCTCCAATGCACCAGAGATAGCATAAAATTATCCAAGATGTGTACCATACATTTTTGGGTGATTCATGTTGACCATATGATTATTTTGGACTAACTGTATTGCATTGCATCACAGCACCACACATCTTCTCTGCCTGCCACAGACGCTACCATGCGCCTGCTCTTGGCCCCGCTGCGGCTGGCTCGGCTGGCACCGCCACGGCCCTGCCCCAGCACCTCGTCAGCCGTCTGCGGATCCCACCTCTTTGAGACATCACAGTGCTGTCCAGCTGCTTTACCGCTGTCATGTCCGGCTGCGCTGTCGGCGGCCCGTGCGGCGCGGCTCCACACAGGGCCGCAGCCGACGGCCCCCCTGCGCGACCTGCTGGCGCCGGGCGGCGCCGTGCGCAGCGTGCTGCACTCTCTGGGCGTGCTGAACGTGTCGCGCGCCCGGCTGCGCTTCGCCGGCTACCGGCTGTACGAGTCGGCGGCCGACCACCCCAACTACCAGGAGTTCTTCCAGCTCTGCCAGATGCCCGACACGTTCTTCTCGTGGTGAGTCGGCTGGTGACGGCCGGACTCTCGTGGTGAGTCGGCTGGCGGCGGCTGGACTCTCGTGGTGAGTCGGATGGCGGCGGCCGTTTCTCGTGGTGAGTCGGCTGGCGGCGGCTGGACTCTCGTGGTGAGTCGGTTGGCGGCGGCCGGACTCCCGTAGTGAGTCGGGTGACGGGGTCTGGACTCTCTTGGTAAGTCGGCTAGCGGCGGCTGGACTCCCTTAGTGAGTCGGATGGCGGCGGCCAGACTCTCGTGGTGAGTCGGTTGGCGGCGGCCGTACCCTCGTGGTGAGTCTGGTGACGGCGGCTGGACTCTCCTGGTGAGTCGGGTAGCGGCGGCTGGACTCTCTTGGTAAGTCGGGTAGCAGCGGCTGGACTCTCGTGGTGAGTCGGGTAGCGGCGGCTGGACTGTCTTTGTGAGTCGGGTGGCGGCGGCCGGACTTTCGTGGTGAGTCGGCTGGCGGCGGCCGGACTCTTGTGGTGAGTCGGCTGGCGGTGGCCACGCTCAGTGGTGGTGGCGCCCAGCGAGGTGGGAGATCTGTGCCGTCGAACCGCAGTAGATCTCGTATCGACGTTTAGAAACTCGGTCACAGCTGATATTACTCCTACAGGCATTACAGTTACAGTTACATATATTCTTTTTAAGGCGCATCCACGTGGTGGTTGTTCTGCGCCTGGTCGTATAGGGAAAAATAACCCACACACAGTACAGAGGTACACACATACGCATAAATACACAGTTTCAGTCAAGGAATCAGTTATTTAAAGCAGTCAAGAACGCCTGACGCGAGCGGGCGTGGGCGGTCACCGCGGGCAGCCGGTTCCACGTGGCGGCGGCGCGGTCCGGAAAATGTCGCTGGGTGGTCATCAGTCGGAAGCATGGCAAATGTAGCGAGCAGACACCGCCCGAAGCAGCCCGAGTTTGGCATTGGGAATACTCGGCGCGCGTTACGATTAGAGCTCGCAATGCACTGGGAGGTGCGGGGACGTGCAGTGCCCTGTAAACATTCAGGAAGTCCCGGTGGTTCACAAGATCCGCGACGTTACGCCAGCCGAGCGCGTCCAAAACGGATGAAACGTGAGCACTGCGGCGGACACCACTCACCAGCCTGGCTGTGAAGTGCATCACCCTTTGCACCCTGTCTAGGTGACGCTCGGCCGCTCCATCCCAGATGAACAGGTAGTAGAGGATGAGGGGAAATATGTGGATTTGGGTAAGGAGCTTCACAACCTCAGGCGTTGAAGTGGTGACGGATTTTGAGCAGGCATACGAGGATTGCATTACAGCGCCGAACGAGAGAGGAGATGTGGGTTCCCAGGTGAGGTGGCCGTTGAGGAGTGCACCCAGTACCTTCACTGAAGATGATGGATGAATGTTTGTGTCGGAGATGGTAATGTGGAAGTTACCGGTGTTTGTGATAGAGGGTTTGGGGCCGATCAGCATGAAGTCTGTCGTTTTGGTATTTTTAAGGCTATTTGACAAACCAGTTTTGAAGGCACCGAATGGACTGCTCGGCACGGGCTTTCAGGTTGGACAGGCCGACGACATCGGGGCAGCGGATTCCAGGAGTTGTGTGTCACCATCGTAGGATAGTAGGCGGCCGTGGGGTAGGAAGCTGCAAAGGTTGTCGATGAAGATGAGGGACAGGATTGGGCCGGCAAGGGATCGCTGGGCCACCCCGTGGGATAGAGATAAGGCAGCCGGGCCGCCACCGACCACCTGCTTCCGACCGCTCAGGTAATCCCGAAACCGTTCCGAGGACACCCCGCACCAGTCCAGTTTGCTGAGGCGGACGTCGTGATCAACGCTGTCAAAGGCTTTGCTAAGGTCGATGGTCGTTATCGACGCGACATGGCTGTTGACGACAGCCCTTGCCAGCCGCCCGACAGCGTCGATCACGGCGTCCCCTGTCGAGTGACGCAGACGGTAAGCATATTGCGATGGCGTCAGTACATGATTGTCAAGAAAGCTAGAAGTGAGCCGCGAGCGGACGACCTTTTCGGTAATTTTCGACAGTACAGAGGGAAAATAGATGGGCCGAAAGGTGTTCAGGTCTGATCGAGCCCCTTATTTGAACATCTGGGTGAGGTGCGCGATCTTCCAAACAGACGGAAAGGTGCGTGACATGACAGAAAAGTTGATCAGATGTTAAAGATATGCGTCGATTACAGGGAAACATTTTTCACTGCATAGGGTGGTACACCATCAACACCGACAACCCTCGACGCGTTCATCTTCCTGATGGCTGCAGAAAGCTCCAGTAGAGCGGCTGGATGCGGGGAGAACGCCGAGGCAGACACGGTACGGGCGCGGTCCAGTCGGGGACGCACCCGCATTACCACGCACCGCCGCCGCCTCCGCAGCGATGCGGGAGCCAACGGCGGCGAAGTGGGCATTGAGTGCGTCCGCCCGGGTGCCCATATGACCGAGTGTGTCACGCCCTCCCGCTGGATGCAGTCCGAGCTGCTTGAGGCGACTTTAGAAATCTCGCCGCCCTGTCGGAGGGCCGCTGCACATCTAGGAGCGACGTTCACACTTCCACAAACGCGGCCACCGTGCCATTGGCCGCGCCAGCGGCGCAGAGCGGCTCCCAATCTGTGAGCAGCGGACTTAGGTTGAACGCGTCCCAGTCGACGCGTTTCCACGGTCGCACAGTGGTGGTGACGGTACGCCGGCCCTCTCTGGGGACGGGAGCGCGGAGTAGCACCGGTTGGTGGTCCGCCTCAGGCTCGGGGAGAACCTCAGCTGAGTCCCGGAGACCGGTCACGTCGGTGACGATCAGGTCTAGCAGTGTTGGTGTGGGGTGAAGGCGGGTGGGCTTGATGACCAGCTGTTCGAAATTTGAGTCTCTCGGGATGGTCTGAAAACCGCGGACACCATAGCTCTCCGGGTTGAGGAGGTTTATGTTGAAGTCTCCCAGTGCAAATGCCGCTTTTTTGTGGCGACGGCGGTCTGTAGTTCGTCCCTAATGCTCTCCAGGCATTGGGACGTTGGTCCTCCCTATGGTCGGTAGATGGCACCGATCACGGTGTGGCGGCCGGGGCCGCTCACCGAGAGCCACACGGATTCCACCACGATATTTCACGAGGCGTATTTCAATCTTCCACGTCCGCGATTTGTATGTGGATGCTCAACGCGGACGCCCGGATGCGCATGAGGTGCCACCGTGTGGCCGGCCAGTGACCGGTGCTGGGGTGCCGCCCGGCCCCAGGTACCTGGTGACGGAGCTGCACGTCTGGATGATCTGCGTCCGCCTGGGCGACGACGGCGCCGAGGGCAAGTTCTGCCGCAATCAGCTGATCACGGCCATGTGGGAGGACCTGGAGACGCGCGCCAAGAAGCTGGGCCCCGTGTCGACGACGGTGCGGAGCGAGCAGCTCCAGCAGACCAACCAACACTTCCAGGTGAGCGGCGCGCCCCGTGGCTGTGCCCCGGCTCTTGACCGAGCTGATATGAAGTGTGCAGGCTTGGCTCTTCAAGCGTTCAGTTCCTCTTGCGTCTCTCGTATTTACAGACGCGCTGACAGTGCTACCTCTTTCCCATAGGTACTAGAACGATTATAAGTTTCCTGATAGCATCACCAGCTTTAGCATGTGCGTACAGTATCATTTATCATCCTGTGTTAGCGGAGCCGATGGGGCGCGTACGTACGTCCGCGCCGGGCGCGTGAGGTATGGCTGTGGCATACCCCGCAGTTGTGATGCAACATCCCGCTGTACTTCACTGACGGCAAGATCGTATCGGTGGCATGGAGGCCTGAAGCGTACGCGCGCACCCGGCAGGCGGCGTTGCTGGGCTACGACGAGGGCCTGACCGAGGACCGTGTGCTGGCCGGCGCGCTCTGGCGGCGCCTGTTCTCGAGCTCCGGCCGGGACGCCACCGCGCTGGAGCAGACCCTGGCGTACGTGCGGCGTGAGCTGGCCCGGCTCGACCGGCTCAACCGCGACGACCTGCTGCTGCACGGCCGCAACAGCTGGGGCGCGTTCACCGCGCCGCCTGGCGGCTGACGTCACCACTGCCTGCTGGGCGGGCTCCGCTAGATGGTGCGCCAGACGCGTGCAGACACAGATCGGATCACCCCGAATCAGTGCCGCGACGGGACGGCGCCAATCTCAGGGCACCGCCAGTTGGCACGTCGTATTTAGCATGTGTCACGCCAGATTTGTAGATGTTTTTAAATGCAGCCTCCGAGGCTTTTTGAGCGTGTCGTGGGGAGCGTGTTGAGTGCGCTCCGGAAAGCGAGGTCGAGAAGGACGTCGGGGAACGTGCGGGGCCCTGCCCCGTCCACCGCCCGGGCTATCGTCAATTACGGAGTTTCACGGTTCTTGGCCGGCCGTTTCACCGCGCACGTGCCGACAGTCCATCTCATTCGGCTGGTGGTTATACTGATAGCTGCTCGCCTCGAGCCCAGAGATTGAATATATCAGTCGCGAGTAACGGCCGTTTTTCAGCACCGTGACGTCAACGGCGCCGACATGCAGCATCAGCAATGCATCATCAGGGACAAAAAGATATATTGAATGCTTGTTGCGGACATCACCTCAGCGGTCACCGTTTTAGGCCAAGTCATAAATAAAGACACACTAGTGAGCCGGCTCAGTGGTCACAGGACCACGTGTGGGTCATATCCGTGACTCTCCGCGCGAGCGTCGGTGTCGAACAGAGCGCTGTTTGAGGTGTTTATTGGTTTGCCGGCCGAGGCACGGCCGGGCCGGGCAGCGGCGCACGGCTGCCGTCAGGGCCACAGAACACTATTTGTACTGCGCGACAACAGAGCCGGCAGCGGCAGCACACAACACCGCCTCTGAGCACCAGTGCGGGGCCGGACCCGCCCGCCAGCGGCGCCGGCCGGGCCGCACCCAGCCGTCAGTCAGCTGCCTCCAGGCGGCGCGGCGCCGGGCGCCCAGCGCGCCCCCGGCCGGCCGCCAGCGAAAAGAACTATGAAAGTGGCGCGTCGGTCGGCTGGCTACTTCTTCTTATTCTTGTTCACACCGGGGAAGCCGCCGCGCGGAGGGATAGCCGGCCGCGCCGCGTTGACGCCGCCGTACATCTTCTTGCGGTCGGTTGGCTGCGGGGGCGGGGAGCACTAGGTCAGCGTCCGGCGGCGGCGCAGACCCGCCGCGGTCAACATGTCCGCTACATTCGCCCGTAGCTCCGCCGTAGAATCTGACAGAAGCCTGGCACGCATGGCTGCTGTATCGTACGCCATCGGTGTAGGCTGCTTATTTGCATGCTTTCTCTGACTTGGGAAGTGGTGCCAGATAGCATAGACAGAAAACAAAACGTAAATTAATTCCTATGATGTGGGCCAAACGACGCAAACCGCTTTGTCATACGGCGCACAAATAAATCAATAATAAGCCAATACACAAATGGCAATTAGTACCGATTTCAACATCAGTTCTTATTCCCAGGAATGCGCAAAATCGATGATGAGACCATTCCACACACCAATTCCCCAAAATGACACCCAACATACATTGTTTTAATAACAAGGAGGAACCGGGGGTATTTCGAAATACCTACTGGAATTCGCAGTCGTAGATCAGTACAGCAAAGCGGAGAGGCTCGTTGCGAAACTTTTCGCTGCGCGGTTGACGGTTCAGTCATGATATTTCATATACTCCACTAGTCATCATTGACTCCGTCATTGCCACGCGGTGATCACTTGGTGGCTAACATCCCCATGCTAGTAATGGCGAGAAGAACAACTCCACAACTGTTACCTCCACTTCAGTGCTGCTCTCGTCACCGTACGGCATAGGGACGGTCATCCAGCCTCAGCCAGCCACCCGACCAGACCACCAGCCGGCCACACTTACCTTGAGGATCTGGAACGAGCACATGAGGCTCTCGTCCACCGACATGAGGGCGCCGGCGTTGTCGAACTCGCCGCAATAGTTGGGCGCCGAGAACAGCGTCACCAGCTGCCGCTTGGCGAAGAACTCGTAACCGTCCTCCACCACCTGCCATGAGAGGAGGGATATCACACGCCGACCAACCGCGCCGCGGCCGCGTCCACGGCCGGCACGGAAGCCGCCAGGTGAAATCAGCTCATGACGACGTATCGTGACGTCATGCAAAACACTGTCGTGCAAACCAGGCATGCGAACAATGAACTCGACTGTCGAATTTAGCGGAAGGCTTAAGAACGCATATTGTGCGAGACAGTGACCTGCTCACGACCTATCAGTGAAGCCTTCCCGTTCGAAAAAAAACTCGAAAGGCAACCGACGACGGCGAGAGCGCGCGCGGGCCACGGCGGCCGCCAGGGCACTGCAGGGCAATGGTCGGGTAAGCCCAGCCGCCCGCTGGGTCCGGGCCCCACCGGACTGACCTGGTGAGCGCGGCATATCAAGTCGAAGTCGTGCTTGTGCAGGAACTTGGCCACCACTTCGGCACCGAACGTGAAGGAGACGCCCCGGTCGTTCTCTCCCCAGCCCATGGTGTCCTGCGGGGGGGAGCCCGTCAGACGCGGCAGCCGGCTCCACACGGACCGACGTCATACAATATGGCTGGTGGCTAGAACAGGACCTTTCAGACCAAGGACTATGTCTAATACCAGGGTCGAACCAGAGACATCCATCGTGAAAGTCCCCACACGTGAACGCGGTCGTCCATTGGCGTGTGCACGTGCAGATCGGTTGCACTGTTCAGTTTCTTAGTAGTGCCTACTTTCAACACGGTTACAAGCTTATCTCGAGAGCCATAGCGGGCGCAACGAGGTTGACGGTAATCCGTCACCCCGATTACCATGTCCGTGTCAGCCCAAAGTTCGCACCTCGTCTCGAGGTCGGGCCATGGCGGGCCCCGAGGTCACACGTCGGGCGCAGGTTACCTTGTCGGGGTCGGACCAGAGCGGGCCCCCGTCTCCGGCACCTAAGGCCGTCGGGCGCAGGTTACCTCGTCGGGGTCGGGCCAGAGCGGGCCCCCGTCTCCGGCACCTGAGGCCGTCCGGCGCGGGTTACCTTGTCGGGGTCGGACCACAGTAGGTCGCAGAGCAGGCCCTGGTCGGGCACGTCTGTGGGTCGCGGCACGCGCCGGATCTGCTCCATGCTCTGCAGGTCCGGCGACAGGCCGCCGTGGCAGCAGAAGATCTTCTCGTCCACGATCGCCGCCACCGGCAGGCAGTTGAAGCAGTCGGTGAACGTCTTCCACAGTTTGATGTTGTAGCGCCGCTTGCCTGCCGGACGGAGCACGCGTCACCCGGCAGGGCAGCTGCCCGCCTTCCCTCCACCCCCTGCACCGGCCGCGCCTCCGAAAACAGAACCAACCGCAGAAATCCGACCACGCACAATCCAGCGTCTTAACACGGCTTACACTGCTGTACCAGCCGACCGACTAAGACCGCTATTACGACTAAGACTACGTGCGCAGCGGCGGTCAAGTAACGAGGGACGCGTTGCTCAGCCCTCCACCACCACCAGCCAGCCCTCAGCGCGGCGACAAAACCCGACAGCCGGCCAATAGCCGCCCGGCCGGGCCCAGGGCGACACACTCACACTCCTCGTAAAAGCGCCGTAGATGCGGTTGATGCTGGCGCACCTCGTGGTTTGCCCCGCAGCAGGAAGAAGTTCTCCGGGTACTTGATCTGTAGGCGAGCAGCAGGCAGATGGTCTCGAGCGACTGCTTGCCCCGGTCCACGTAGTCGCCGAGGAACAGGTAGTTGGACTCGGGAGGGAAGCCCGCCGTACTCGAACAGTCGCAGCAGGTCATAGTACTGGCCGTGTATGTCGCCTGCGGGGCGCGACCCGCGGTCACGTGACACCAGAGCGCCACAGGTCGAGCGCGACCGCCTGTTGTTCATCGCTTCTGTAGAGCGCGTTCGACTACATGGTCATTTTGCGCCTATGCGCTCGTCACATCCGGCACGGCGCGTGATGCGGGAAACGCGGTGAACAAGGCGCAGACACCGCACCACCAATGCACTGCCATGGAATAGCCAGCCGTAACTCAATTATGACCATATTCGTCATATCAGGAGTAGGAGAAATTCGCATCAGGAACACGTTTCAAAACACGTCCGCAGAAAAAAGCGCCCAGTTTAGACACATTCACATACCAATCTTCTTACCTTCCCGAATCCATAAAAAATCGGGCAAAACTGTTTTGGCACCTGCTTTTCTGAAGTTTCTAAAAATAGCAATTTAATTACATGGCACATGATAATGAGCCGAGTAGAAATACGAAGAAGTCGACCATGACAAATATGTAAATCTCAGCAGCACAGATGGCAGAAAACAAATGACAAAATCATGTGATGCATCATAACACCTCACCTAGCACACCTTCGTTCTGTCTGACAATCTTATCACGCGATTGGGGTCGTTACACTTCACAGTACAGGTTCTAATCAGTTGCCGACATCTTATCGGCCTAAGCAAAATGGAACTGACGGCTGTGAAGACTGGCAGCAGCAGCGTCACAGCCACAGAGCCGGCATCAGCGGTGCGGCGGCCGCTCCGTACCTCGGCCTGGCGCGGCTCCGCCCAGCCGCCGAGCGACGCGACTCACCGCATATCTTGAGCGGCGCCTCCAGCTCGAGCAGCACTGGCTGCAGCAGGAACAGCTCGCGCGACTTGAGACACAGGCCGCGGATCTCGGTCTCGGTCAGCTGCACATTCTTGCCGGGTCGCGCTCCCCGCACTGGCACGACACAGCTAGCGTCAGTGGCAGGCGCCTCCCTCCGCGCCAGCTCCCACGCGTCACAGGCAGGGGCCTCCCTCTGCCGCCAGCTCACACGTGTCACAGGTGGGGGCCTCCCTCCGCTGCCAGCTCTCACGCGTCACAGGCAGGGGCCTCCCTCTGCCGCCAGCTCACACGCGTCACAGGCAGGGGCCTCCCTCCGCTGCCAGCTCTCACGCGTCACAGGCAGGGGCCTCCCTCCGCCGCCAGCTCACACGCGTCACAGGCGGGGGCCTCCCTCCGCTGCCAGCTCTCACGCGTCACAGGCGGGGGGGGGGGCCTCCCTCCGCTGCCAGCTCTCACCGCGTCACAGGCGGGGGCCTCCCTCAACTGCCAGCTCTCACACATCACAGGCGGGAGCCTCCCTCCACCGCCAGCTCACATGCGTTACAGGCGGGGCCTCCCCCCGCCGCCAGCTCTCACGCATCACAGGTGGGGGCCTCCCTCTGCTGCCAGCCCCCGCGCGTCACAGGCAGGGGCCTCCCTCCGCCACCAGCTCATACGTGTTACAGGGGGGGGGGCCTCCCTCTACCAATGGTAAGCAGCGGCAGGAGTCTCTCAGCGCTGCCAGCTCACATAGGTTGCAGGTGGATGCCTCCCCCAGCTCACATAAGTCACAAGGTGGATGCCTCCCCCAGCTCACTTGTCATGGGTGGATGCCTCCTCCAGCTCACATAAGTCACAAGGTGGATGCCTCCCCCAGCTCACATGTGTCCCAGTCTGCCATCATCTTACACA